AGTCCAGAGTAATGCACTTAAGGTCACATAGAAAGAAAGAACCAGAGAGAAGAACTGACTTTCTTCCTTCTGATTCCTCGGGGGGTGCTTTTCCTCACTGTACTGTGCTCCACAGTGCTTTGCCACTCGTGAGGGGCAAGTGCTCTTCCAACTGTTTATGTCTCTCCCCTGCCCCATTCCAAAGTGTTGCTTAGGAAGAAACTGGTTCCTGTTACCCTGGAGTAGTCTACAAAAGATGAATTGCCATTTTCTCTGCCAGAACTCCCTACCACCCACAATTTCATTCATTTTTTTTTTATTACGTGCCTATCACATGCCAACTTCTGTGTTTAATCCCATGACAGAGGCAAAGAAGAATCAATAAGGGTCTGATCCAACATTGCCTGGTGGGAGTTGGGTTGGACAGTTACAAAGCAGTGAAGTGTCTACAAAGCTTGTGAGACAGAAAGAGAAGAGATTTTTTAAAAGCCGTCATGGCTCTTTCTGGGAGATACCCAGTGGAAGAAATAGATGCAGAGTTAAGACAAGCAGGCTGGGAGCACAGTTGCCATGAAACTGTCCTTGTCCAGCCTTGCACCACCTGGTCACCTCAGCCTGCCAGCCATGATTTCCCACACTCCTGCACTACCTTCCAAAAGACTCTTCCCAGTCACAAAGGTGGCAGACTAGTGAAAGCAAGGCACAATGGGGCTGCAGACAACACAGTGAGAGACAGCACGGGAGCGTCTTTAACCTGGCTTTTGTTTGCTTGCTTTAATTCTGAATTGTTGTGTGGCTTGTGTTTGTGTCTACACACCAACCACACTATTTCATTCACTGACTATTTACTAGTTGCTTCCATGCAAGTCACACTGCTAAGAGGCACAGTAAACAATATGACTGCTGTCCCAGAGTGTAAAACTAAAACTTACAGCCAGAAGTGATTGCATTGTTCACAGTGATAAGGGGAGTTAGTGTTGTGTGTGTGGAAGAAGGAGAATTTCTGAGTAGATAGTAAGAAGGGAATAAGGACAGGCATTAAAAGAGGTCCCCCTTGATGAAGAAATAGCTTTGAGCAACATAGGGCCACTTAAGGGTTCTGAGCTAGAAAGTAATTTATCAGTTGCTATGAGAACCATGGGCAGGCTACATTGGAGGAGGCAATGTTTGCCCACAGAAAGATCTGGTGGGAGACTGCTATAAACTCAGGGGGTTGTGTTTGGCCCATCTCACAAGTGTGTGCTTGTAGCATGCACAAGACAGAGAAGTAGAGCTCTAGCTCAGTACCTAGCCTAGGTGGATGGGAAGATGTGGCTTGGCAGTGATAGGGATCACAAGTAAAGAAGCATTTTGCAGGGGAAAGTACTGGCTTTTGCTTCTTAGTGCAGTGCTTTAACCCGCTGCGCCATCAGGAAGGGCCTGGTTTTAATGTTTTTAATGACACGAAATTTGAGATGATAGCTTCATTTTATCCATTTGTATTATATTCCCAAATATTTCTTATACCTTCTTAAACTTCATTTTCTTCTTACACATTCTAGTTGCTCTATTTGTAAAAAGGATTACATTATAGAAAACTTGGAAAACAAAAACATTTTTAAAAGACAAATAACACTCATAATCAAACACCAGAAACTAAGAACTGTTCTTTGGTCTTTATGTAATATACTTGTGTATACACATACATACATATATAAAGACTTTATGAAAATAATTATATCAATGAAGCGTGAAGATCTGACTTTTCTTAGTATTCTGTATCCATTGTATATTCCACTTTGTATTTGATTTTTTTCAATTGACTTTTCCTGTGATTCTAATTTGATTTCCCAGATCAAAAAAGTGTTTTAAAGAACTTCATGATTTTGTACTGACTTATATTTCATTGCATGAGGCTATCATAACATTGAAGAATTCTTTTATCATTGGACAGTTCAGTAAGAATTCTTTTATCATTGGACAGTGCTTAGAAAGGATCAGGTGGGATATCTATTTTCTACTTCCACCATAGGACCCCAGAATAATCACTTCCTTATCTTTACCCTTTCCTCATCCTTCTCAGGCCCCTGATGATAGAGATTTTAGATGGGCCAGATGATTGCCCAGTAAAAGTGCTATGAGAGGTGAGATTAGCTAAGGCAACAGAGAATGAACACTTACCCCAAACCAACTTTCTTACAATTTCCATTTGTGATCAATTTTTTAAAAATCATTTTTCCTCCTTCCACCATTCCTTACATACTCAGGTGCCTGTCTGAATGTCTGCACGCCTGTGCACTTATACCTACCAAGGAGACCTAAATATGGGAAGAACTTCTTAAAGTCCCTAAATGATAGACTTTTTTTGTCTTTTCTCGGCATATTCTCCCTGCCTTAGAAACAAAAGGTGACTTAACAGGAAGCAATAGGAAGCTAAGTTGAAGCAAGAGCATGTGCCTTTCTGTGACAGTGTGGTGAAAGACCAGGGCCAGGGCAGGAGCCCCAGGAGAGAGCAGAGCCCAGGCACACGAATATGCATTAACAGGACTGGACAGAGCACCATTGTTTTGATCTTTCTGTTTTTACAGGTGCCATAGAGTCATTTTATGAGTCTTCACCATGACCCATGCCATAGAAAGACAAATACAGCTATAGTTTTGCTGAATCCAGGTTTAAAACTCCTTGTTCAAATAAAAATAATAATTTCTAAATCAGTCCAAAGCAAAGCCCAACATCTTGAGTTCTCTATACTCCCCTTTTAAACCTTGTTCTTTGCTTCTAGTCTGTCTCCTTTAACATTACTGCCTCCATTTTAAATATCATCAGCTGATAAATCAGTTGGCAGAGATCTGCAACAGTTCTTTCTAATATTAAAAATGACAAATCACAGTTATAAATTTTTCCAGGAGAGAAGGCAATGATATGCATTTTTGCATGTGTAGGCGCACATAAAGAAATAGATAAGTAGGCGCACATAAAGATAGTAAGGATAAGGAAAATATTGTGTATCATATTCTATATTCCATATTCAATTGTTTCAATTGACATTTTTCATAATTCCAACTTGAGCATTTTCCATGTCACAAATGTGGAAAAGTCAGCTATGATTGGCATATACTACATTATATGTAGACGTTATCAGAACTTTGGAAGGTTTGAAATTTTTAAATATATTTATTTTAGAAAGAAAATTCCCTTAATAGAGAAGAATTTACTAGAAGGAAATCAAATTATTCTGAGACAATCTTTCACATCCAATGTCTTGTCTGTCAGAAGATAAAAAAAGGAAATTTCTGAAACTCAAAAACAGGGAGAAAATTTGAAAGTTGATATTCTTGTGTTTCGTTGGAGCTATATGTTTTTGAGATTGCCCAAAGGCAGCATGCATTTTGATGAGCATTGTTACTTAAGTATGAAATACATCCATACACAATGAAAATTTGGTCATACATATGAAGACAACAAAAACTTAGTCAAACAAATAAATACAGAAAATGTAATAATGTAAGATAAATAAATTAGTATTGCAGTGGTTTTCCCTTAGTAATAGAAGTCTATTTTCATCCTTTTGTTTCCATTTTCTTTCCAACTGATGTAATTCCTGGCAGGTGTTCCCTTATCTTTCAGTAACTTCTTCAGAACGACCCTCTTTATCACTCCCTCTTTTCCTCCTTATTTCTCATGATCTCTAGTCTAGGCTGTTTTTTACCATTTTGACCCATGGTAAACTCAGTTTATTCCTTATACTCAAAAGTATATATGTGCTATCCATATAAACAGAGCATAACATATCATCCTGTGTTAGGGGGTGGGATAGAATGTAAGGAGTTGATTTGTTTAAATAATATCTACATTTACATTACCTATGGTTTCTAAATAGAGACCTATCCAGTCACCCCAAGGAAACACAGAATAGCTGAATCCATTCAGTATGCAAAAGAATTGCAAAGTAAGTGTTCTCTGCTCGTGCCTACCATGGTCTGCCCGAGGTTCCACCTGTCTATTGAGCACTCTTTCTGTCCCCTTTTTGGATGAAATTTCTGTTACACTCACCCTTTTATTCAAGATCCAAGAGTCATAAATCTGCCACAATCTGGGGGACTCAGGGAGAAGAAAGTCTTTTTCAGTTGGAGGCTATATTGAAATGAGTGAGGCCAGTTAGTGCAACTTACTGGAGTCCTAAATGTCTCTGGGGACTTCTATACAGCCTGCCATGTCATTCCTTGTGGATCCATTGACCCCACAGTCTATAATATTATTTTCTCTGACTCCTTTAGTCTCTCTAATTCCCACAAGCTTCTCAGGGCAGCAGGTATAGTAAGAGCCCTGACAGTCACCACCATCATAGTACATTTTAGAAACCACACAAAAAACCCTTTCATGTTTATTACATCTCTTCAACTGCCCAGAACGTGCTTTTGTTGATAATTGCCTATGATGCTCAGGCATCATTGTGAAAAAACCAAATGGTTGCTTCCCAGCTGTTACTAAAATCCTTATATTGCCAAGAGAAGAAACCTATTTGCTAGTGCATGTTCCCTAGCACTGACAATCCTCAGGTACATATTCCTTTGCTTAGAGAGCTCCCTCTTTCATTGAAAGTAAGATAGTGATCATAAGTGCTTGGTGAGCATCTGGAAGTAACATTAATAATGATGATAATAATGACCTCATAGGATGTATAATTTGTGGGATTAAAGAACATTTACCAGCTTATTGTGTCACAGTTAATAATGAGGTGTCAAGTTTTTTTGCCACCACCCTTTACAGTGAAATTTCCTGCTTGGATCAGAGAACTAATTCTAGTAAATGGTGCCCTGTCAAAGAACTTGCTCCATCTTAAAGCATAAAGTTATAGTATAAAAATATTGAACTGTTTTAGCATTGGTTTTCAGAGACAATTGTCTCTGAAAATGTTATTTTGCATTTGTCTCTGAAAATGTTATTTTGCATTGTCTAAAAATTGTATAATGTAATCATTTAGTGTTTATTTTATTGTGTGTACCTTCTACTCAGAGGGTTGGCATTATTGTTCCTAACAGTGACGGATACAAGCAGATCATGCCTTATGACCTCTACCATCCCCTTCCTCGGTACGTAAATCAATCATCCTGATGCTAGAATTAGTAAATCAGTCTTCTGCTTCTTTTATATATATACATAGAGATGTAGATTTTGTTTTTCCTGTAAAAATAAGATGGTAGCTAGTATATTTTGTAATCCATCCTGAGCCCTGCTTTTGAATAATAATTGACCTGCTCAGACCATAAGCTTGTCACTCAAAAACCATTTTAAGATAGGATAATATTACATTAGAGTGGACACAGTAATTCTCTGATTAGATACAGTGTATAGGTTTATGTTATGTCTTTCTCTCACTCCCTTTGTCCTTGTCTATGTTTCCTCTGCAATAGAACCCTAGTCATTAAAGTGCTATTACTAACTGTTAAATAAACACTGTCTGAAGTATTATCACAATACCACAAATGTGGAATTCCAGATGTGATATACTCTGCACAGGGACTGTAAGCAGCCTTCTTTTGTCCCAAAGAAATGATGATTAAGTAGAAAAGGGAAGAGTTTTTTATATCCATATTGTTTAAAACATTTAGAGGGACTTGAAAAAACAACCTATAATTCCATTCATTGTGTTGCTTTTTAAAAATACAATATTTCTCCAAACTAGAAAGAGAGTCGGGAACTTTTAGAAAAGATTTTCCCTTTATTAATATATTCATAAGAAAACTGGAGAAGCTGAAGAATAGGCTAGCAACTGTGGTTATCACCTGCCACCTTGGAAATAGCCTCCTGGAGAGCAGAAATAACATTGGGTTTGAAGGAACTACTCACTGAGAACTTTGCTCTGTGCTCTCTACTCATTTGACCTTCAGGAAGCTAGCTACTATTTAGAACCTCGAGTTCAAATCAAATTGCAAAAACTGGAAATAATTCAAGATAATTTCTCAACCTCAAACTAAACCCCAGGAAAAAAAACACTTACTCTGAACTGTGAAATAAAGCAAAGTTTAATAGAAAATCTCCAAATACTTAATGAGTTGGGATACAAATTGGGGTTCTGTTCACTTACTCCAACTTCCAAGTGCTGTTTCATTCTCTCACACCATTCCCCAAAAGTCATATCCATATGCTACACATGTATATAAAAGCATGTGTTCACATACACATGTATATCTGTATATCTAAGGTATATGTATTCACATATATATATGTACACATACACATTAACATGCTACAGATATTCCAACCTCTACTTAGTTTTCTAGTGGTAGGCAAGAAAGTCACCTTTCAAAACTGCAATGGTAGTCTTAAGTCCTTCGATTAAAGGATTACTTTTCCGTCAGCTCTCCGATTTCCCTATGGCTATATTGATAAATCTGATGAATTACTTTAGAAGGCTACGGATGTATCAGTTTGCTGGTTTGATCCAGATCCAAACATAGGTGAATTCTTTTTGAAAAAAAAAAAAAATCGAACAATATTAATTGAACCAAAATTTCATTTGACTTCCCTTTTGGTACCTGTGAAATAAGAATCTGAGGGGCACATGTTTCTGTGTGAGACCATAAACTTCAAGATAAAGGCAAAGTTGGGTGTCTGGGGCAAGCAACCTCAGGTCTATGTTTTTCTACCTGGAATGGCACACTCCCATGTTTTTTCTCTCTGTTTCTCTAGTGTAACTAATGCCTATCTTAAGTTAAGGTTGATTTCTTATGTACTTGGATTTTCTGCAAATGCCTTATGTGTGTTCTCAGTGGTGGGTTGACATGAACTCCCTGATGTTTGTTTGCACGCAGTCCTGTGGATCCAGTGGCCTCTTTGTGCAAACCATTAGGAAGAGATGAGGCATTTCTCACCCCTTGTGCTGTAACTGAACTAGTTTGAAAGATATTCTGTTTGATGAATGAAATCTTAATAAGTGGAAGCTATTTCTACAAACATGTTTTCACTTCCTAAAAACAACTAATGCTCAGAAGTGGTTCTCAGATGGCAACTACCCACTAATCAAGTCAGAAGTCTTGACTTACTTAAATGAGTTTAAAACACAAGTGTAGCTACAACACACAAGCAGTTTTTTATTGTTCTTTCTTGCTTTCTTTCCTGGTAATACACATCTAAATATAACAATGTAATCTAATGAATTATTTTTAAATTTTAGTTAACATATGCAACCTCTTCATTCTTCATTTTGAGAATTTCTGCATCAAGGCACACACTTCGTTGAAAAAATTAAAAGCCAAAGAAGTAAGCTATCATTCTTCCAGGCTTTAAAATGCATACTTTTTTTTCATCTAAGCATGTACCTGACCCATGGTTTAAGAAATCGAAGCTTGACACCTTTTCTCAGCTTTTGTTATACTCCCTTTAAAATATCCATACATGTTTTGCTTTGAGATTCCACATAACCCTATTATTATGTGGGAATTCACATGATAATTTTACACATCTAAAACAATATTTGTGTATTGGAGCCATATTATAAATTCTTAGAATAATATTAGCATCATTTGTCTTTCTGTGTTAAGTGACATGGAAAAAGATACTTATTAGGGTTTATGATACTACATTATGGGTCAGGTCCAAGTGTTGAGACAGAAATTAATCACTCTTCAGAAGGGTCAAATTTAAGGAGTTTAAAGTTCCAATTAGAAAATGTCCTTTTCCTATGGCATCTTAATGCTCTAAAAGATTAAATATACATTCAAAAACATATTCCCAATTCACTGTCAGATCAAATCCAATGTGAATAAGTACTTAATATTCAACTCAAGGTTCAGGCAAAATCAGATCTGCTGTCCAGCTCCAGAGAAAGCTCTCCAGAGATTACATGGAGACAAATGAATTGGTCTTACCCTTTTGGAAGAGAAACTTTCTGCAAAGCTACTTCACTCTCTTGAAAGGGATCTGAAAGACTCCTCAGGGCTAAACAGAGGGCCTCAGTTTCCCCATAATAACATTTTCTTAGGTGTCTCCTGGGAAAATATGCTTAGGAAAATATTGTATTTGGCAGCATGTTTAGGCTGTTGGCAGTGAAGGTAATAGTTGTTGCCTAGACTTGAAAAAGTGCAGAGAAAATGTGAAGGAAAATTCTCTGTAACTGGAAAGCACACATTACTCCAACTCACACAGAAGAGTAATCCCTCTCTACATCCGGGAAATCTTACTCTAGAATAATGTCTCCATGGTATGACTGTGCAGTATTGCTAAATACAACTATACAGTGAATCAACTTGGTGACATTTTGCTTTTCTCTAATTAAAATATCTTATAATTTTTGGGGAAATCATAGTTACTTGGCAGTCCTCATCAACAAATGGGATACCCATAAGCAAGACAAGATTAGTCCTGATGTTTCTGTCTTTTTAAATTCCTCATTTTCTATATCCACAGGAGGAGAGAAGAGAATCAGGCAAACTTAATCTCTCTGTACCTGGTCTGAAATGCTTCAGAGCTCTGTAATGCTCTGAGAAATAAATGGAATTGTAGTAAATTTTCTTGACAACTTTATTTTCTCTTATATAATTGTATCTCTAGATTCTGATACCATCAGCTTCCCAGACAAAACTAAATCTCTACACAATTCAGGAGTTTTTCACTTGGGAAAAGATAACAGCCACGATCCCTCAACAGATAGGAAACAAATAGATCCTGCTTCTGTGAACATATTTGCCCCTCAGCTTAATGGTGACACTGTTTGCACATCAGAATGTGCTGAATGTGCTGAATCCCTAGAGAAGCAATGGAAAAAAGATGTATGATTTAACTTAATTTGATAGCTCCTTATTTAAAAGACCCAGAAGCTAAGTAATAAAGCACTGCATTGAAAAATGCAATAAAAGTGCATTGGAAAATGCAATAAACTTGCACTGAAATATGCATATCATATAGTTGCATATTGTATATATGCATATTTATTGCATATTACATATGCATATATAAATGTGTGCAGAAAATTTGAAGTATATTAGATATAAAATAACATAAATATGCACACAGAGACATGCAGAAAACTTATTAAAACTCTTAAGTAGATGGACTGAACAATCCTATTTTGAAGAGGTTATAGGCAGAACAAGCATCCTTGTTGAGAGCTCTCTAAGCAGTCCTTTCAGGGACTGAGATTCAAGGCTTACGGAGCACTTTTCCCAACATTGAGTCCTTCTCTCTTACTCATCAGATTCCAGACCACAGGTAGCTTTGGTTCTCTGCACCAGAGCCTCTCAGAACCCAGTTGCCCCCTAGGCCCTGGGAACGGGGTGGTCGCTGAGGAGGTTTGGCAATGTGCATGTCTGCCCTGATGACTCCCCTTGCTTCTGTAGGTGGGAGGCCACCCCGTGGACCGCGTGCTCCTCCTCCTGTGGGGGGGGCATCCAGAGCCGGGCAGTTTCCTGTGTGGAGGAGGACATCCAGGGGCATGTCACCTCAGTGGAAGAGTGGAAATGCATGTACACCCCTAAGATGCCCATCGTGCAGCCCTGCAACATTTTTGACTGCCCTAAATGGCTGGCACAGGAGTGGTCTCCGGTAACTGTGCCTTCTTTCTTTGTTCATTAGGAGAGTAAGTCCACTCTTCCCTCTCATCGCCATGACCCCATTGGCTACCAGTGCAGCTTCCTGCTTCTCTTCTTGAGGTGTCTAGAAGCCTATTAGCTTAGCTCCTGGAGTTGGCATGCCCATATCCAGAATTAACTGTGTAAAAACATGCAGAGTACATATATACGTATATTTTTCAAGTTATACCAAAAAGCCTCTGTCACGCCTCGTCCTTTCCCCTAAAGCAGCAAGGGAAGGCAAAGGCCCACCAAGTAGAACCGGAGTCAGATGATTGAGACGGAGCCCATGAAAGCTGCTCTGATGATTGATCTCAATAGAGCAAAAGTTTGGTTTCACTTTTATTTCTTATACTCTGTCTATAACCAAAGAGGGTCCAAGTGGCTTCAAATTAAAATTATATCTAGTAGTTCAATGAAAATAGGATGAAATGAAAAGACCAAAATAGGAAGGATGAGCCAAAGTAAGATAAGTAAAAAAAAAAAAAAACCCAAGTGTTAAGGAAGCTACTGTAGCCGCTTAAACAAAATGTTATTTTGAATTTCCTGGATGCTAATGCAAGAAGATTAAAAATGGCAAAGGCAATAGAAAGATGAGGAGATAAACCATTTTGTCCTTAGCTCCAGAGATGGTTGAGAGCACTTCACTTACCCATGTGGTTTCGTGGCATCAGGTCCAAGCTGATGTCTCCCTCCATCTAGAGTTGCTCCCAGGCTTGTATCACTGAAGTTGCTGTCTACATCTGGCCATCAGGCCAGTTCCTGTAAACATCTTTAATGTCAATATAATCGATTGGATCAGCTGCACAATCATACAGTTTAGCTAGGATGAAGTTTAAAAAATATGTCAGTGTAGGAGCAAGTGCTTCCCACAGTTTGGACGTGACAGCCAGTAGCAAAGTGACTACAGTGTTGATAATCAAAGTTAAGCACACCCTACAGTTTCTTCTTTTTGCTGCTTGTTTTGAGACTTTGCACACAGTGGGGGCTTAAGGATTGCTGACTAAGAACTTGAAAGTGATGTAATTTGCAGTTAGCTTCATCCCAAATAAAACAGAGATCCTATTACTGGTAAGAAGTGATATCAGTCCACCAGAAGTCCTGATATAAGCAGTCCTTTAAGCAGTCTTAGGTGAGAGTGAAGGAACATGAACAAGGCTTTGGCTATGAGTCTCCTTTCTCTTGCCTTCTCCCTCCAGTGCACTGTGACGTGTGGCCAGGGCCTCAGGTACAGAGTGGTCCTCTGCATTGACCATCGAGGGATGCACACAGGAGGCTGTAGCCCGAAAACCAAGCCCCACATAAAAGAGGAATGCATCATACCCACCCCCTGCTATAAACCCAAAGGTAACAACAGGTCTTCCGGTGCTTGTCTTCTCATTGTTATGTGTAGTCAGATATTGTTTTAAACTCCTTGGAATATTTTTAAGCATCCCAATTGTTCTCAGTAACCATTCTTTAGAACTAAGATCTACTAAATGGACTTAATTTCTTTTTCAAATTTTATAGATTACTTGCAAATAGTTATTAAGTACTGCATAAAAACATTTATATGTAGGTGATAAAGTTGAAGGCTGTACCTGACAAATATGTGTATCTGTTTGAGAGATTATACAAATATATGATTTATTGTCCAGATTTCTTGCTGTTGAAATTAAAGGACTCATCCACAGGTATACTTTGCTAAGTGTGAAATATATTATGTATATTATATATAATATAATATAATATATACTTCAAGTTGATGAAATAAAAAGCTCTTTTTTTATGTTGAAAGTTCAAACATTAATATAAAATTGGGTTCCAAAACCAAGATTTGAGAGAAAAAATTGGAATGACTCAATTTTACAGATAGTACAAATAATTTTAATTATTTAAAAGTTCTAAGTGAGCAAGTTTATAGTAATTACATTGTGCCTTTGAGTTAGCTGTAAAATGGTGCACATATAGGTACTTATGTGTATTTAATTATTTACCTGACTTCTTTGTTGTTGTCTATACATAACAGTTATTGTTTATATCAATGAAATATAAAATTCCAAGGACACACGCCATTCAGAAGTGAAGAAGTGAAGCTTCCCCTATTATCAACATTAAATGATTTGTATTTTTCTTTTATCTATTTAAACCATCGAATTTCTCTGAAAATCAACCACAATGTAGCTCTTCGTTTTACTCTAGTATGTAGTGAATAGCATTATGAAATTGAAATTAATGATAAAAAAAAACACTTTACAGCCCTCCCTGGTGGCACAGCGGGTTAAAGCACTGCACTGAGAAGCTAAAGCCACTTCCGTATGAGTTCGATTCCCGCCTGCCCCGGAGGTGACCACATGGCATGGCAGACCTCTCCTGACCCGCCCCCTGCTCCCCTCAGCAGTGTACTTCATCGATCTGCCTGTTCTGCTCCCACTCTGTCTCTGGTGAAGCCTCTCACCACCCCTAAGCCTCTGGCCTGTACCCCAGTTCTGTACAAATCAAATAAATCTTTAAAAAAAAAAAAAAAACACTTTACCAGAAATAGTGATTAACTTTTTTAATAATATAATAGTTTATCTTTACATCATTTTGTGCCCTTTTCCATCTCAGTTGTAATCCCCGCGGGCTTCCCATCACCAAATCACCCATGTGCCATCACCGTAGTCCAGTACAGAAATAGTGATTAATCTTAAAACACATCCCTTTCTCTCAGCCTGTACCCTCCCCCACTGTACAATGGGGATGGTAATAGCACTATCTCACAGATCAAGTAAGGATTCAATGACAAGCAGTGTAATAGGGTGCTTATTCTCCAGCCTGGTATAGAGTTAAGTTTTACACAGATGTTACTTTCAACTCTTAATTCTCATTAGCATCCCCAAATGTGGCAGGAAGTGGCCACTGGTGTGTGTAATACAAGTAGTTAAGTATTGCAAGTCTGCTATTAGTGCCAAGCTGAATATATCATTATTGTGTTAGTAATCAATGAGATGACTTGCACCTGTCAGAGATGGCATCCTCGACTAAGTGGTTTAGTTGATTGGAAAGTGATGGCTGTCTATGTAACTGCATTGCTCTGTTTACCATGTTAGCAAATCTTTTTGACTCTTAAGAGTTTCATATTTCTTAGTCACTGTATTTTCTAATTATAAACCATTGCAGCGCAAAAGAGGATGAGACGTGTTGTTCCCAACTTAAAATAGTCAATTATTTATTACTTCTGTCTTTACTAAGCCACTTCAGAAAAAGAAGGGCAGTTTGTGGTTAACTATCAAAAATCAAATCTGGATTTTCACAGCTAAGTAGTGATTCTGGCTCTCTAAACATCATTAAGATGCCATATAATTCTATGGCGTTTGCATATATAGACATATTGCTTTCATCTATAAAATGGTGATGGAGCTTCACTGGCTCATACTAGAAAGGCAAATGTGTCTATAAATGACCCTAATAAATATGTCAGAATAGGAATCTTGGCAGTTACTTCTATAGGAGCAGTTAGAACCTCCCGCTTTCTTTTTTCTCTTACTCAATTTTTTTTTTCCAGGAAGTACTTAGAAAGCTTGTTTTAAATTGTTTGACCAAGGTTAGATGAATAGGTGAAACAAGTCAAATTATGGTTTGAGGACCCTAAATTGATTATATTCCAATTGTGAGTGAGCCTTGGGTTGGGATGTAGTGAATCAGATAGCTAAAGAAACATGTTATTAATCTCAGAGTGGCAGAATATGGTTTGGTTTCGACAGTATGGCATAGAAGACGTTTAGTCAAGAGGCAGAAGCAAAGCAAGTCAGAATTATGAATGTGTCATAATATAATTTATTATACTCTGTGTTTTTTTAAAAGGAAAATATTTATCTTATCAACAGAAAATAGGAAAAAGGTACTTTGATGCCTCAGTATGCAGATTAAAGATAGTGCTCCTAGGGTTATGGTTATGACCTTCATATTAAAGACTTCTCTTTGCTCTTGATGACAAAGGGGAAGCATATACACAGGGACTAGTGTTATTAAACATCCTAAAGTTTGATATTTTGTTGGGGGGGGTGGAATGTAATCATTAGCAGAGGCAGAAACTTATAATTTGTAATTATCAACATAGTAACTTCTAGAAAATGCAAAATGAAGAACTGGTGAGGAGAAAAGGAAATTTCCTGAAACTTGAAATTGGTTCTAATCTTTCCTCTTTTATGTGCATGCACTTAATTCTCAGAGAAACTTCCAGTGGAAGCTAAGCTGCCATGGTACAAACAAGCGCAAGAGCTTGAAGAGGGAGCAGCTGTGTCAGAAGAACCCTCGTAAGTTTTAAAACCATAATTGTTTTGTGTTTGAAGCTGATTGGTTTAGTATATGTGCTGCCAAAGCAAACACAGAAGCTGACTGGTTTAAATGAGCACTGTCTCATTTTGGTTGTAATTTTCATGGATTTTTGAACCAAGTATAATCATCTTACTATGGGCAAAGTAAAACTGTAGGGCTGTCAAATTGGAGATTTAGCAAGATATTTCTCAAAACTTATGATTGTTCTCTAGATACTTTTCAGCATTTAAAGTAAGAAAATTCAGGTATAGTACCCACCCTCTTTTCCAAAATCTGACCTCTTTTCTCTCGCAAAGAGGTCAAAGGTGACATGGCCCAGGTTTGCCTGATGATGTAGCATAGATTTGATATACAATTCTGGGCAGCTTTCCACTTTTCACTTTGTCTCAATTGTTCAGCCAGTACTGCCAACCCACTGAGAGCTTTTCATGTTATCATTTGGCTTTTTTAAATTGTCACTCACAAAAATTAAAATACATCTGAGGGTAAAGGGAGTTTATAGTTTTTCTTCTGTTGCTGCTAGGATTGGTATCAGAGGGATACCAGGTTGCTGTCTCACTTGATCATGGGCCCAATACCTGCTCTGTGTTACCATTTTTCATTGATGAAACAATGCAATTTAAAAGACCATCAGGCAGAAATTTTCTCAAAAAGAAACAAGTGACAGCTACATGTTGATTTCACTACAAAAGCACTAGCAGGCATACCTACTGAAGTTTTTCCACAGGTAGGGAAAACATTTTATTGATGAATTTCATCTATCATCAAAGCAATCCCTTAGATGGGAGATTTTTTTCTAGATTAGTCATTTAATACAAGATAGACTCTGTGTTGTGTTTTGGTGCACAAGACATGTTTACCAACCTACCCCACCCACCCCCACTGCCAGGAGCTCACAGGATTATGTGTAGGATATGAAATGGTTTTCAAATTCAACCTGTGGTTTAAAAGTGACTAGAGAGATAAATTAACAATGTAATTGACATGTAAAAAAGTAATTGAGAATTTTCTCATATTCATCTTGTTTGAATCAATATCTGACATGGTCTACTGGGACATAAATTGTGTTCCTGAATCACAGCCTCCACAGCAAAAGATTGAAGAAGCAGTCCAAAATGAAGATTGCTATGATGACCAAAGTTCATCTGAAAAGGAATGAAATCCAGTCATGTGGCTGACTGGATACCATTCACAAAAGGGTGCACCTTTCATAATATAAACTCACCAAAAAAAAAAAAAGTGTGCATTAGGTAATACTTTTCTTATTTAAAAGGACAATAAAACAAGTCTGTCTATACCATAAAGTTACTCCACCTTTTTTCTACTTCTTTGAGACAAAGCAACTAATCATTGCAGAACTTGTCAGGAAAGGCAATGGTTAAAGATCACAATGCAACCTTTTGTTGAATATATGAAGACCTAAAACATTTTATCTCTCTCCTGCCAATACCTGGCTTCCAGGGCTTCTTGCTGCTAGAGAGGAAGTAAGCAGATCATATTAGAGGGTATAAACTCTCCAATCTGCTAAGGTTCTATTTCTATATCTGTATTAAACAGAACATTGCCATGTAATTACAGCTACTTATTTCTTATATGTATCCTTAGGTCTAATATGCTTAAAACCGCATAAGTATTTTACCTAAATAAACACTACTCTCTAGTATACTACATTTTGTTATTTTGTCTGAAGCATAATCCTACACATAATATTCACTATGACTGATGAAATTAAATCAGAATGTCATACATCAATAATTAAACATCTTTCCTATTATTAGTTACTTCTCAAATGAAAGCTGTTAGTACAGTTTAATGCCATGGTCAACCATATTTTGTAATAAATGCTTTCCACTAAAGGTCTGATTAGCATTTATTATACCTAACTTTTAATCTTAATAAAACCCCTAAAGTAGTTAAAGACGTAGTTTAGCCACTGAAACTATAGCCATATATAATAGATTATTAAATTTTACTCTCAGTGTAATAGAATTGCCATCTTGGCATGATTAATATGAATTGAAGTAGATTGTAATTGAAGTTCTGGTGCCAGGTAAAGGAAATGTATACTATTTTGCTCAGAACAATAATTACTTTTATACCAAAGTGAAATAAATGACAGCTGTAGAGTAATGTAATGAAAGGTATATGGTTTCCACATTTTAATATACTTTACATGTTTAGTGCACTAAACCTAGGAAAAGTCCTATGTGTCACATTATTTTTTTCTACTGATTTTGAATTTAAAAAATATAATTTTGTATGGTCTTAATTCATTCTTTTTAAAAACCACATAGGCAAGTTCTAAATGTATGTAGCAACCTATAATTACTCTCCATAGCCTAATGAAAAGATGATGTACTGTCAGCAAGTCGCTCCTTCTCCCAACCAAAGAGACTCACATTGCTTAAATTAAATGGTCATGTTTAGAAACTGCATGTCACTTTTGAGCTGCTGCAGAGAAGTAGAACAGTGGTCCAAAATTATCATCACTGACTGGCTCCAGCTAACATAGAGAGTTATAGAGTAAAAGTGAAAATATCATTTATTTCCCCTTATATAATGAAAATATTATTACCAATCTGTCTCATTAAAAAGTATAAGAAAATCGGTACCTTAATTTTGCATATGTACCATGTGAAGATAGTTTTGTTAAGTGTTAGGTACTTTTGGTAATGCCAAAATGAAAAAAAAAAAAAGGTTGGCACTCTGGAGTTATAGATAGAGGTAGATTTTTACAAATACTGAGTTTCTTGAGAGTTATATTCTTTTAAAGGTAAGAGCAGTGTCACTCTAGTCCTTGAAAGTGATGATGGGGGCTAGTGATAAGGAAAATACGGGCATTCTCTCTTCTGCTTACTATTCTGTTTTTGAAGTTGCCTCTTGCTGATGAGAGCATTGTTAGGTTAGGACACATCATTTAAATGCCAGGCTGAACTCTGCTCCTTGCTTCCCACTGGCAACTATATGAGAATAGCTTTCTAGGTATTTTGAAAACCTTCAAAAGTTTACTTTTATTTGGTGAGGGAGCAGAGCTACAAGGTTCTACTACACTGTAGTACAATTGCATGCATTCATCAGGTAGAAGTTAAAGAAGTTACTTATTTCCATATCCTGTCTCTTAGTTTTATATCTTACTTTCAGTCTTTGTTGAGATGTAAACATAAGTATCACAACCACCTCAAGCCAAGTACACATTATGACCACTTTGACAAGTTAATTTCTCAGAAAAATGATACTATGGTGATCTGTAGGACTTGTAAAGACAGCTTGTCTACGTTGCTGTACAGGAAGTTATTCAGCTGGCCTTCTTTAAAAGTCTGATCTGACTTGGAATAGGAAGGAAATTGTTCATTTCCTTACCTCCTTCAGGCCACTGACATGCCAACAAATGCCCTAGAAGGTGTAATTTGTTAAGGGCAGCAGGAGCTTAAAAAAAAAAAAAAAAGGTAAAGTCTGGATGCTCTCAGGTCTCTGCCTTTCTCTTTCTGGACTTTCTGCATTCTGAATCAAGTTATCCCATGGAGTGGGAGGGAGAATTAATAGGACACATGTAGAAGCCAGGTTCCTCTCAAATTTGTTTCAGTTATAAGGAGTTCTGCTTAGATGGTGCAGAATAAGCAATAGAAGATAGGTGATTCCTTAGGGCAACAGAAGGCCAATACAAACTTGTTAGCCAGCCATCCCGCCATCCAGCCCTGACTCACACTGGGAGAGCCTTAACTGTGCTGTGCTCTCTCTCTAAGGGTGGTCCTTTGTGCCTTAATCTTGCATGAAAAAAATCTTGACTTGTTATACCACTTCATAGACATAAGAATAGCCCATATCAAACAAACAGGGAACAAGTGTTGGTGAGGGTGTGTAGAAAAAGGAACTGCTCTACCGCTGTTGATGGGAATGTACACTGGCCCAGACCCAATGGAAGACAGAATGATGGTTTCTCAAAATGTTAAACTTCAAGCTACCAAATAATTCAGCAATTCCATGCCCAAGTATCTACCTGAAGATTACAAAATCACTCTTTCCAAGGGGCATGCACTCCCATGTTTACTGCAGCACTATTTACAATCATCAATTATGTAAACAACCTCAGTGCTCAATAACAGGATTAGATTAAGAAGATTGATGTATATAGAAGAATGCCAGACAGCAATAAAAAAATGAAATGTTGTCATTTGTGGCAACATAGATAGAACTGGAGGGCATCATGTTAAGCAAAGTGCATTAGAAGAAGGAGGACAAATATGGATGGTTTTATTAATATGTAGAATATAAAGAAACAAAATAAAGGGGCAGACAACACTACAGAAGGGAAGAATGGGATGGGATGATGCCCAGTGGACTATAGTTAAGGACTCTGGATACCATGGTGGTAGGTGTGGTGATGTAACGATCTGAGGAGCTGTGATTATACCTCTAAATCATACATTACTGTCAACCAATGTCACCTCAAAAAAAAAATACAATTTTTAAAAATGTTATCTTACTGGATTTTCAGTTCAGGCTTACTACATAGTTAGGAAAATATTTTTGTGCTTCAACAAAAACTCAGGCCTTAAATTTATTGCCATAAATAACCTTGGTGTGAGTCATTAAAAAAAGGAAGAAGAAAGAGGAAAACAGCAAGCAAAGGCAGCAGTAGTATCTGGATGCCAGATGGCACCAGCCTAGTGATGGGGCTGATTCAGTAAGAAGCAAAGGGAAATTCCTGTCATGCATCTGTATGAACAGAACCCACAAGGAATTAGTACAGAAAAAAAGGCCAGTAAGAGTCACATGGTGATCCTGGAGTCACTAATTGTCTTGTATACCTTGTTCAAAAGAGTATTTAAATATGTAACATCTAAGCATAAGTTTATATTATTCCACATACAACAAGTTGTCTGAGAATGTGGATGGCCAAACTTAATGGGTAAGAAGGTAAATTCAGTTTTTTTTTAAAGATTTGTTTATTTGTACATACAGAACTGGG